AAAACTGCCAGCACCGCCCATACCATGAAAGGCGAGATGATTTGCATTGCACCCTCCTCCCATTGGATATCCAATCACATTCAGCATGCGTCAGTGCCCGCCGGGTTCCATTACATCTATAACCTGGAACTGGATCCTGAATAGTGATATGCGGATTCTGTCGTTGGAAGACCTCTTTCGCGACTCGCTCCAGCACACGCCCCCGCAGCTGCGGTGTGATCTGGCTCAAGCTGCATCCGGCATATGCCGCTTCAGTCACAGCGGCGTTTGAGCATCGATCCCGGCATGAGAACTCCGACAAGCGAAACATAGCAACACGTCGCAAGGTCTGGCGACAGCATCCGGCAGCATTGAGGTGACTCAGTCCGTATGCTCTACTGCCAAGGGAAAGCAACATCACAACAGTTTTGAAGGTGACAACACAAAGGTACACATGAGAAGTTGAACATGGACCCTGGGAATGGACCTTTGGAAGATGAACTTCCTCCACAAAGCACGTGTTTTCAGGTCCGTGATTCCATCTTAATCTTCCCGGGTGTACCAATTTTGCCCAACGGGACGACATGTTCTTTGACACCTATTCAGGCAAGTCTGAGACATCATCTGCAAAAAGAATGTAAGCTGGAAGCTGCTGTCCACCTTCCTTGTGAGCTTGCTTGATCATGCTTGAACCACCAAACAAATACTGCACCGAAGATGGACATCGTGTGTTTTCTGCTGCAAGTTAATTTCATTGCTGGGAACACTCTGAACCTTCACTGGTGGCCTCTGTTTCAATCAACCGGCTGTTTGCAGCTGTAAGCAGTTGCATCAGGCCGCACACTCTCCCTTTAGATTTTGTTCTACTCGTGCTTTCTGTGTGTGGTGTACGCAATTCAACATGTAGCGGTCTGAATGGCCATACTGTAAGTGCTCCAACCAAGGTCAATCTTTGAAAGGAGGAGCTTCATGGCACTTCTGATCGGTCTATTCATAGCCATGTTCATCCATTTTCTTGGTTGGATCCTGGAACAGTCCATGAACCCTGTAGGGAAACCAACACCAACCTTGTTCAGCTCTTCATTTGCCAGCAAAATTGCCAGCACACAAGTACAATAAAGGACACCAATGGTGTTGCAGCTCAAAGAGTGACTCCCATAGAGTTTCGCTGTGTATAGCGAGTCGCTGTTGAAGCTCCAAGGCACCCACATGCAGCGCACGCCCCGGTGACGGCTCACGTGCGCTGAAGAAGATCCCCACAGCTCCTGGCAGCCTTGAGGAGGCGGATTTGTCTAGTCGTCTCAAGGACAGAAACAACTTGAATGACAAAGCCGGTGGAGTATATCGTATTTCATGTCGTGGCCAGTGACCAAGAAAGGTGTTCCGCATCTTTTACGGTGAGCATAAACCCTGATGACATCAACTTACTACCAGCGGGTGTTGCATGAATAGTGGCTGGCTATGCTTTTGCAAGGGAAGTTGTGCCCATCTTTCCTAGACATAGGATACCCTCCCCATCCCTTGCCCCGAAACTCCGCCCCCCCAACCCAATCTGAGGTGATCAGTTCAAAGCTCAGCGGACCCCCCCCGATACAATTCCGCCAACAACGCGATTTTTTGTTTCTAATTCTGCTGATCCGGCACTCCTATGGAGCCATGGTCAACCATGGGTGCGGCGTTCTTGGTGAGAACATCACAAAGCTTTGAGTGACAAGGATGAGAAGAACTTCTCCATGTTCAAACTGTGCGACATGGTTCAAACGTGATGAAATAAGATATATATATATATAATATGTCCTTCCTTGAAGCTTGGAGTGAGTTGATGAACACATCACTGTGTCCCCATGTCCAGTCCGACCAACTTCTCCAAGGCTCTGGTGAATCTCAGGCGCCCAGTAGTCACACTTCCTGGGACGCTGTTTGAACCAAAACCGATGGAAGGATGATCAAGTGGCACGGTTGCTAACCTAAAGAGCATAGAACTGGTTGTTTTGTGAGTTAATCCAAACTCATATGTTCACAATTCCGCAACTACACTAGGGTGAATGGCAGTTCCAGAAATCAGGGCACATACATTCACAAACCCATGATCCTGATCCCTCTGATCATCATCCTTCAGTTTTGCCGCTTGCAGGCAAACACAATTGGGCCACATCCAACAGCAACATTCTGATTGGGCCTCATGACAGTTACGTTGGTATACCAAAATGCTATACCAAAATGTGGTACTTCTCTCTCCAGGCTAACAACAAAACTTGTAGGGCTTCTGGCTATTGTGGACTTGGATTCATTGCCTGAAACCGTGCACCTTCCAGCTTGAACGGCTCAAGCTGGACAAACCCAGCTCACTGTAGGCTCTGGGTCCCCGACTGCCCATGAGCACCGCCACTCCAGCTCGGCAACGTCTCAGGGCTGAAGACCTGGAGGCGATTCCCAAGGGGCTGACCTATCTTGGATGATGGATTCCTTGTCCATATGTAGACTCTTGACTAACAAACCCACCCATTTGAATTATTTTGCATTGGACCTCCTCTTCATATATGTTTTTTTTTTTTTAAATCAAGAGTCTAGTCTACATTATATGTCAAGGAAGCGGCGACTCGAGATCAGTTCTGGGCACTATTTGTTTTCAACTTATCGACCGCTCATGGATCAAAACAGTGGCAGGCAGCTGACCAGCGATATCGCATGGGGAACAAGTTCGACCCAAATACTCGCGCTACCTTTAACTAGAGGCTCACGCTCAAACCCTTTCTGGGCCCCCACCTTGCCACAAGGCTCCCAAGAGACCAAGTCGTTGGAGCGTAGCATCCGAAAAGCTCCTGGCGGACGACGGAACGAGCACCAGCAGCTCATGCTGGCTCATCCTATAGTAACTGGGTCGTGACTACTTGGTTGCCCAACCCTGACTGTTGCGCTGCTCTATGGTGCTTCTGGTGTCTAATCGGGACTGATGGCAGCTTCCTTGTGATTCTTGGCTTTTAGTTTGGCGTGGCTTAAGTCTCTCCATAGCCCAGTAGCCCTATGTACCCCTGATCTCATGACGCACCTTCCCTCTATACAGCTTCTCCCCCAAACATCGATGCTCATCAACGTTCCATCCCGTTCCATCCCGTCTGCGTCGGCGGCGCCTTCGGGGCCCCCGCCGGTCACCGCCATGTAGAAGTGCTCACCGATTTGCTGGGCGCCCGGATCCGGGAAGTCCCCCGGCACCTGCGGCGGTCGGCGGTTGATGGCTTTATGCCGGGGGAAGGTCTCCACCGAGCGGAGAGTCGGTGCTTTTTCTTTGGGGTGGGTCTTGGGGCCTGAGGGGGGGTGTTGCATGGAGAGCTGCAACATATCATCTGGTATATGCAGGTGAGAACGGTCGATTCTTCCAGAGAAGCGAGCATTCTAAGGTGCAAGCAGGATTAGACATTTGTTTCTTTTTGCGTGGTTCCCTGGCCCCAAAGAATACAAAGATGAACGGGCACTCAATTTCCGCGCTTGGGCCCGTACAGGTCTGATTCCTGATTGGCAGCACTCAAATAAAGTTTGTTGTAGGCACCATCAATGAGATTTGATGTCAGCTCATTTGAAGCTCCCCTGGTTCCTCATCAATGCCAAGCAGCAATGGGGTTGGTGTAGGTCTCCTGTCAAACAACTGCTTCAAAAGGCTTGGGGCACTTTGATGTGATCAGGGCGAACAGTCAGGATATGTGTTTAAATAACTTTCATCTAATTGGATGGAATACAGAAACATTGTGCTGCTGAAATCTGCATGCAGGGGTAAAGAGCATTGATATGAGACAGTGCAGAATCTCAGAAGTCACATGACAACTTTACATTGAAAATTAGGATCCAGCAATGCCACCAATAGCAAACATACTGCGTACATCTCCAATTCCCTGGTGGAATCCGGAATCACCGGTTCGACTTCCACACATGTTGCTTGCAACTTTTGTGTTTCTTGTCATCTCTAGATTCGATCAACTCCACGACTACCTGCCGTGCGCTTCCCTCCTCCGAAGCGGGCACTGCTTGAGCTGTCAGCTGAGACCCCATGGCGTCACCGTGACAGGTGCTGATGTGATCGGTTTGCCTCGTTTGCCTCGTTGGCCTGAACCGCAGTGACCGATTGACCGACCCCTGAGTGGCTTCACAACTTCTGCAGGTCTGCCCAACCGACCGCCCAACCGGCTCCCTCTTGATGGATGCTCCGGGATTGGATCCAACAGGAAACTTCACCTTGGATGAAAGTTCACAGTGACTGACCCTGATGCCATTGACTCCCTGTGAAAGACCGACTGCGGGTTCCTTCGGTGATTCCGGCGACAGGGTCCTGGGACGTCTTCCGAAACTTGGAAGGGGACGTCTTCGAGATCCGAATGGAGATGTTTGAACCATTGAAAAAATAAGAAACGCTCACGGTTCAAAGACCGTCCCGGGTGGGTACGGGTACGGGTTTTCCAGGCTCCCCACCCAGAAGATCTCAGAGTCTAGGAGGCTTCCTCGTTGTTACACCTTTAAGTGGTAGAAAGGATGAAGAAACACTGCGGTTCCACATCCTGTAATGTGCTACGGACAGAGACATGTCAATGTGATGGTATGTTTCTTCGTGGCAGCGCCACCAGCACATAGCCAGGAGTATGAAAGTCGTTTGAAAGGTGCTCACACTCCACATCAAAGTCCATGTTCAAGCAGTCTTCGGGCTTCCAGGTGGTGTTGCTGTGGAGCTCTTCCATCAAGCTCAAGAGCTGCATCCCAGGTTTCGGCAACATGTGGTGTGTGTATTTCAATGGGAAGAGCTCCGTCATCAACAGGTTTTGTTCTGTCCTGCGTCCAGCGGGTCAAACTTCGATGTCTCCCTATACCTGGAGTCTCAGTTCGTACCTCAGAAAATGGGTACTAAGTACCTTATGTCCCAATAGGGTTATGTCCCATTTTCGAAGGTACTTGAGTACCTCGGGTCCAGGTACACACCCACGTCTCTGGGCATCCCCAGTGACTTCTATATGCGCCAACCGCTGGGCATCCCCAACCACTGTTGCGCCACGCCGCTGTGGAAGCCTTCCTGGCAAGAATGGCTGTGACTTTCCCAAAATAGCCAGGTATGGCACCATGAGTGCTGTGAACAGCCGCAAGGAAATCCAAGAAGAACTGATGGAAAGTAAAAATTATAGCAGTGGAACATGAGGGAGGCCAAGCAAGACTGCAATTGATCCTGTTTGGCGATGAACAAGCTGCTGCAGGAGTTGCCGGGTGCCTTTGCAGTGACTTTTGGGGCGACAACAAACATAACTTTCTTCTCTGGCACTGTCACTCGTGCGGTACTTGTTCAATTCATTCAGATTGGTTAGTTTTGGGCCCAAAACGGTTTAAAGCTTATTAGACGTGACGTAGAACCGACCAACTTTGGTAGCCCCCATGGCAATGAACTACAGTAATTACCTTGAACAGCTGGTATATCCTACGAATGCCAGGGTCTCAAGGCTCATCCACACTGCCCATTTCGTGCCTGTTGCTGCGGCTGTTGCTGCAAGGGCTGTCGCGACTGGCTGTTGGGCCGCGAACCACCCTGTCCAATGCGCACATGCACGGCGCAAACGTGTGCACACGTGTGCACTGCGCTGTTGCGTGCTGATGAGTGCAACATCCTACCAGGCCCATTGATTCGCCCCTGCCATGCGGACCTTCAGACCATGTCAGCAGTGGTCTCAATCGCAAGGTCTCAACAAATGTGGATCAAATAATTGGTCAAGATCATCAAACTCAAATAATCAAACATCACAAAGCTAAGGTGTCTCTACTATTTCGAGTGAGGTCATGAAAAAACATATAACATGATGAGCCCAGCAGCCCATATAGTAAGTGACTGGACCATTTTTGGTGACTCGTGCCTGAGCATAGGCCTGCATGCCATATTGCCTGCACAAGGCTGGTCAGGGTATTCCAGGTGCTGTCAGCAGCGGACTCTCTCGTTCCGGTGGATTGCTCCAGGGATTAGCGTGAGTGGTACAAAAACAATCAAAGACAAACACATATCTAGGCCAGCAAAATGAAGACCGTAGTGGACAACATTGCCAAGTGTTTCCAATGACTTCCAAGCATACAGTATTTCGGACTGAGGTTTAACATCTGTAAAAACAACGCTCTTGCCGGTAATCCTTTGCTCTTGCGGCCCAAAAACACCCGCCGCATGGACACGAAAGACCGAGCAAACCCACCTGGTGTCGGTGCCCTGGGTTTCGGGTGGCGGCACATCAGGGTAGCCCTCATGGACCTGGCCGAAGCCCGGTGGCGGCGAAGGCAGGCGCTGATTGGATGCTGGGCGCTTTTGTTGCAGGGGAAGGGGAGGTCTCTACCAGTATGGGTTCATTCTGGTGATTATTTCGAGTGATTTGCTTAGAATTATGGTCTTAGTCTACATGCCATGACAGTTGTGTGTGTTCTTTTTTACCGTGTTTGCTTTTAGATCTTTTAGGGAAGGGATTTTCTCTGTCTGTGAAACGAACTGGGTAGTTCTGTTACTCTGGCTTCCCCCTTGAACTCTTTCTATGCCATACACCTTGTGGCCAAGTTGCCTCCTCTGCCAAAAAAATGATGCGTTGCTTGGCTTATGCCTTTCTGCTCTAACAGTGGATAATGAATAGTGCTAATAGGGCTTTATTTCAGGTAGACATCGTTTTCCCGCTTTATCCGTTTTGTTTGGCGGGGGCTGCCAGATGTCCTCTGAAAGGACTCAACATCGAAAACGTCGTCCCTTTCGGAGATCTCAACCAGTGCCCTTCCCTACACAGAAGCCAAGCCATCATTCTTATTGGCCGGTGAGTACGGACTTGTCCCTTCACAATGCATGCTTCTGCACTGCTCCTTCCTTGCGTGAGAGTTGGGTCACCCCTTGTCACCTGCCGTGCCGCTGCGCCCCCCCCTTCCCCGCCGCACGGGGGACGCTGAGATCCCGGACGAGGCGTGAGAGGGGCGAACTGTGGCGGCCCTCCCGACCTGTCGGGTCGGGACAAAGCAAGGTCTTCCAATAGGGCTATGGATGTCTATGGCCTCTATCAAAAACTTACAAGTTAGCAAGAAAGGTGCAGTGTTTTGTGATTTCAGATCCAGGGTTTAGACAATTGACTTGCCACTTCTAGAGGGCACAACCCAAACCAAAAAATAACAGCCAAACCATTGGGAGGCTCCTGTAGAAACTTTGCCATGTGCTAAAGGAGATTTGGGCTACAGTTAGCTACAATATATTGCAATTATAATGGATCATATTGGGTATATCCCATTCCCTGCAACAGCATGATGATGGTCAGTAAATGCCCTTCCCCAATAAATAGTGATCATTGTCTAAAGTTTACCGACTGTTGCAGGTAGCGGGACACACCCAAACAACCAAAAACACAGTGGGAATTGTCCCATGTTTCACCCACCATGCGATGGACAACTAGAGGACTTAGAGACCCCAGTGCCATGGGGAACACCGCCCGCACTACGCCTTGATACCGTGCTTGCGAGACAGCACCAAGACCGCCTGGTCGCGACAAGCAGGGACAGCTCAGGCACGGACACAAGGTGGATAGGAAAATGCCAGGTGCAGGGGATAGAGTGCAAACCATCTGGATTCCTAACTTAAACATGATCCTAACTCAAAATACCCCAAGTTCCTAACTCAAACAGATCAAACATGATCAAACCATCTGGATCCACTGCCATCCTTTTTTATGAAGTTGATTGGAGACTCTTTTGTGTAGGTGCCAGAAGAATTCCAAGTACATTCTGAGAAGGCATATGGATCCCTAGGGAAAGTAAACATGAATGAATGACTTTGCTTTCAGTTGTTAGCGTTTTGCTTTATTGAATCACTTGCATCACTCCCTTCTGATCGCCCTAGCTCAGTTTGGGCCCCCTCGCTGGGTCGGCTCACCGCGCTGGCTGCATCGCCGTTCTGCCTGAGCAGTAGTTCGGATGTACACTCCCGAAAACACACATGGACCCTGACGTCCTGGCCCCCTGGAAGATTTCCTCAACCAATGGTTTTGGGGGGTCCATGTTAGTCTGCATGGGGATGAGGTATGCAATAGAATCGTTGTGAGGGGTTGATCCGACCATTCGGACGATCCGAAGAGATCCATTCGATGTGGAGCTCCAGAAACACTCCAGGAGCCACGGGCACAGGAACATCGGTTCTCGCCACTAAAAGCGCAAGTACGGATGTGCCAATGTTGGTAACCAATGAAAGTCTCCGGCAATCCTTGGGATCATAATTCCCGAGTGGATGAGTCATGAGTCGTTGCAAAAATCTAAAGGGGTAAGGAATCGCAGGAATCAAACCAATGCGCTCTACAGTGGAGCACCAAACGACTCCAAACATGCGACAGTCACGGACCATGCGGATGCCACCGGTGGCACAGCGCGTTGGTCCAGGTGAGGCACACCCAAGTTGATCTACCAGGGCTTGAGAATGGGAGCACATTATCCCACTCACTGGTTTGAGAATGCTGTGACTGCCTGTAGATTCCTGTAGGAAATGACATTTTGACATTTCCCCACAATTTGTATCTACTGTAATTGGTTAGGTTTGTTTCAGGAACCAGGGCCAAGCATATTTTGCAGAAGGATATTTACATACCCATAGGGAAAATGGAACCAGGAATTAGTTGGCACATTCACTGGAAGGGGTCGGGAACCTTGTCTCATGCTTCGGGGGTCCTTTTTGCAGGGGATTGAGCGTACCAAAAAGCAAAGGATTGGTTCATGGATCCCCGTTGATATTCAGGGTGAGGGGTCAACCCCCACCATTCTGTAGGCTAAATACCATCACTGATGTTCATGGTGACTTGTTGATTGAAAGCAACTCTTTGTTTCCAATGGCAATCGATGAACTAACCGCCTTTGAGTTGACAGCCAACATGCCCAAGGTGCTGGCATCCTGGCCCATCTCTTCCGAAACCCAAGAAATGTGATGATTCCACCTCATCTTCACCCTCCATCCTCCACGCACTGGCCCCACGCGCCGCTCGTTCGCACACACCTCCACGCGCCCCACCGCTCCGCCTGGCCAAGAAGGCTTGCCGCTTCCGCTCCCAGACCTCATCCCGCCGCGCCATCGTCGGCCTCGGCCGAGTCACTCCGTGAGAAAAAGGTGGGGGGGATCAGGAAAGTGTATATCACCTCATTTCTACCCTATATAGGTACACCTTTGCATGAAAATGCAGCTTCATGTCCACATCTTCATCCATTTGCATCATGTACTTGAAGGGGGGTGTCCAGGCATGCTGATGCCTGTCCGTGAGAATCGCATTCCTCCGTGGAGCTCGCCGAGCCGAACCCCCGAACACCGAGCCGACAGCGACTCGACAGGGGACACCCTGACTCGACACCGACACCGAAAACATCCGAAAAAGAACCTGGCCGGTTCGGGGCACCGGATGCTGGAGGTTCTCTTAGCTTTTGGTTTTGTTGTCAACATGGCGCTCGAACATTGACATTGAGAACATCATAGAACATCAATGGGCTCGAAGGGGTAATTGCTTCAAAGGAACATTGTGCTTTTCAATCCAAGCTTCTATAGTGGTGGCGTGCTGGAGGATTTTAGCTGTTGGAGTGTTGGAGATTTTAGTTGTTGGACACACATTTCGACCGACCCATCTGACCAATCGCAAGCATTCCATGCGGCCCTTTTCGGCTCTCCTTTACCTCCAAGTCGCGCAGTGGAGCACGGATCGGGGCGAAAAAGGACGGCCGGAAGGGTCGGAAGGTGGATTTCCTCCGAATGGTTAGATCTCAAAAAAGTCCTGTCACTTGATGTCTATACCTTGATTATGTTCGAGGTTCTACCTTGATTATGTTTGCTGACTTGATTTCTTCCTTTGTTCAGCATATGTGGGTATTCATGAAAGTTCTGCTGCTGTGCTTGGTCAGTGAGATGTCAATCTTGGGTAGATGAGGCTTTGTTGGCTGTTAGCTGGTCGATTGCTAGTGCAGCTACAGCGTGTAAGCTACTGATTGGACTAAGGCCTTCCACAGTCATGTGCTTGGACATCCCATGCAAAAACTACTCCAAAAACAATGATCAACTTAGTTATTGTCATCAACATTGCTCATGAATCCTACACCAGACCTGTTCATGTCAAGTATATAGACTTTTTTTTAATAGATGCATATTGTCCCATGATGCTGTATGCCTGTTCTCAAGAATTAGATGTATTCGAGTGTTCTTCATTCAACTTGTCCAACGTTATCCACTGACATGGCTTCACCATTGCATGGCTTCAATGGCAACAGCTGGGGCCAGGAATGCATTCACTAAACCAAGTCAGCCAGTGTATGGTAACCTGTTGCAGTGGAACTAAATCTGGTATTTGTTCAGCGCATGCAACACATCTGCCCCAAGAACACCAATCAGTAACCGTCATCCGCGGCGTAACCGCCACGTGCATCAAAACAAGTCCACCAGGAACCAATCAACCTCGCCCACGAGAGCCGTGTACGAAAACGACAGAAAGTGAGGCTGGAAGGACTCAAAACTTACTCATCCTACTCGACTGCCGCCACGAAACCGCATTTTGCATGGACAATGATCCCACTGAAAAATAGCAGATTGGTCTGGCAAAAACCCAGTTGGAGCTGGACAGTTCTCATGCAAAAAATAATATACATATATATGTAACATTATTAGATTCCAGAATTCTCATGATACCATGTGTGAGCCTGACCCAACACATCGCCATCAAAAGCAATCCACCCCCGGCCCGTGAAGGCGCTTCCAATAACCATGCTTCGGAAGCCAAGGCGGCTGACCCGCAAAAGTGGTCGAACTCCTTGACACAGGCCTTGGTGACCTTGCAATACCTCGGATTTGAGTGTGAGTTTGGGTCTCCAAAGCTCAATGAAAGGCCTCTCCGCAATTTCCACACTGTTTCATGTTGTTCAGCCTGGCATTGTGCAGGAAAACGTTATCATTTTCAGGTCAGACGGCGTGGTGGGCCGGTGGGTGTAGGTTCTTATAGGTCTTCACCTCTGCAAGGTGGGGAAGAGGGACAAAGTCTTTCAAGGAAATGGACCATTCCAAAGAAAACCTACACTGCGCAAAAACTAACATGGACCCGGGTCGAAAACACGGTTTTCCTCTACGAACCAGTGGTTTTCAGGGTCCATGTTAGTTTTCAGTGGGGTAAGTGACTATATATGTATATATTAGCGAGCCACTGAGCGAGCAAGGAAATTATTGCACGTCTTAGCATTGTGATGTCTGTGTACGCCCTGCCAAAAAATAACAAGGGTGAAAACTACAAAACAATGTTCAATGAACACAGTCTACTCTTCAAACCAACAAATGATGAACCACACTACATTACATCATTGAGGTGTTGTTGAAATATAAAAGACCAAAACACACAAAAAAAAAACGTTTGGGCGAATGTGAAGTCATAGGTCCATCAGGTCCATAGGTGTTGCTAAAAAACGTTCAACATCCAACGGTGTCGTTCGACGGCTCTGGGAGCTCCTGGCTTTGTGCGAAGTCCCTTGATGACCTCAGTTGGAGCCCGGCCCAAGAACGTTGCATTCCTCAAATGACTGGTGTGTTTTTACACGCTTCGTTTTTTCATGAAAAATTGGTATATCCTTCCCTCAACTATGGTGGGGTTTGCGGAAAACTTATAGTTATTGTTATAGATTTTTGTACGCGAAAAGTGCCTTTTTCCTTCCGATAATATACGTTCTACCATGAGATCCAGCCCTCTCTCATCCCGTCTTCTGAATGAGCGAAGGACCGAATAAGTGAATCCGCCCAAGGGAGAAGCAAACGCTAAAGCCAAAACAGCTCTCCTAGGAGGACAAACCCTGCAGGAACCTCTTGTTGATCAAAGCGCTTCTATGATAAAGTGGAATAATAGCTGGAAAAGTATTATGTTTTGTTTTGGTATACTTTTCACGAAGTAATGTTGCTGTCAGCTTCATTCAGCGCAGCCTGTCGTTTGCGTGCCTGCCGTGCCAAATGGCGAGTCAATCTTTGCTCATCCCGTTGGCACAGCAAGTCATTGTTCTTGGAATTTCTTGATTGTTTGGTCGCGTAGACCTGCACCCCTTCTGGGCAGCATGTTTCCTTGTGATGGAATCTAGCGGGGGCTTTCTCCAACTGGGATCTTGCCAGAACCCCCTCTTCCACTCACTGTATTCGGGCGCTTTCTCATCAACTGTACAGTTCACACTTTCGAAGCTCAGACTTTGAAAAAACACAAATTCATCAGCTTCACTGTTCACACCCTCTTTGTGGAATCGATTGAGTTCAGATTAGAAACAGTATGAGTGATTGATTTTGGCGTTCTGCATGTTAATGGCCTTGCTGGAGGGCCGTTCTGGTGGCAAAACTGGCACTTCACCACTTTGCTCCATGTGGATTTGCCTTTCGTCCCTGGCAGTTCCTGTCCTCAAAATATCGACAACCGCTGCTTCTGTGTCTGCAAAAGAATCTGGCTTCAAAAAATATTCTTCCAATAATTTTCTGACAGGGCCTAAAGTGAGGCTGTCACAGGGGCCCTGGCCACTGGCCATGCTTCTCAACCATGTACCGAGTAGTACAAGGCTGCTTCCACAGCATGGTTGTGTAAGCTCCCTCATATGACCTGAAATGGTGGCCCACATCAAAACAGAAGATCAGTTGTCGCAACTCCCCCTTGTCTACCACGTGGTCAGCAACTGCCTTTATGATCAAAAGGGGTGTAAAAAAGGAAGGCTTTTCCAGAATACCAGCAACATCCAGCAACGTAAACCACGATTGTTGTTCTGGGAGTTCTCATACTGCCGCAAGAACACACCAAGTACGAACAACGCCTTGGCTGAAACATATCCGAGGTCTCGTCGTGGGCCATGGGAATTGGCAAATTCTCCATCAATCAGCATGGGAGTACGAGTTCCTGTCCAGAATTCTTCTATAGATTCCCACATAGAATATTGTTCCAGCGCTGCCGCTAGGCGATGATGCTCATAGGATTCAACAATGTCATGATGCAGCTTCAACTCAGCATTCAGCCCACCTTCCACGTGACGAATCTTCCAAGGTTCAGGAACACGAGCTCGCTCAGCTGCGTGGTTTTGCTCATGCTTGTACCTCCTGTAAAGCTTCAAAGCGTCTAGCTGCCCTTCATTGTGTTGGAGATTGTCCTTAAGCATGCAATGCGCAGGGGGCTCGAGGGCTGCGACGCCCCTTGCGTAATCCCTGGCAACGCCTTTTCACGCAGAAGCGAAACTTTGCCTCTGACATGTTTCTTTTGATGCTCGGGGAAGCTAGGTAAATGGTGCTAAGGAGCGCTGACAGGGCGCGGACAGTCACTCTGCAACGCAGTATTGTTCCATCAGCTTGTCGCGGCTTAACGACGCAAGTGTGCGAGGCAGCTCTGCTCCAGAGCGGCTCCAGCAGCTTTGACCATCAATCTATTTTCGACCTTGCTAGGCCAGCCACCACTCCTCTGAACAGCAGCTCTGCCCTTCGCCCACTGCTTGCAGTGTTTGGGCCTCTTGTGTGGCATCTGGTAACCCACAGCATTCAAGGAAGTCTTGGTCATACCCACAAAAACAAATGCACGATCAAGACTGCACATGCGATCACCAGGCTTGTTCTTCCATGCCTCTCGCAAGCGGCCCAATTCAGGTACTAGCTTCTTTCATTTCCAGTTCAACGTGTTAGACAGCTCAAGCGCCACTGTGCTGGTACCAGACCATTCCCCAGTCGCCTTCTTCGCCACCTTGACAAGTGCATCAGCAACATCCTGGGTAGACGCCACTGTCAAAATAAAGGCGGACGCATGTATTAAGACAGAAACATTTCTAATTCACCACAAGCACGTCTACATTCCAAAGTTCCCAGTCCGGAGAATCTTGATGTGAACCACGAAGCATATCCAAGATCGCATTGACTCTGTTCCTTTGGGCTTCTGCGGTCGGCATCAACCATGGCTTGTACTCTGAGTCAACTTGAGGGCCTCAAAAGAAGGCTCAACCACATCAGTGAAGACTTCATCAGGTCGAGGCAAAGGTTCCTCAGCAAGGCGCTAGATTCCGCGATCAGAATGCTCCTCATCAAGAGCGTGTGCTCTTTTCCAAGGTCCTTCCAAGTGAAGGGCTTGCCGAAGGTGTTGACTAGGCTTAGGTGTAGCAGGGCTAGTTTCGGTACCTTTCCCTTTCTGTATCTGAGAGATTCGGCCACCAGACCTCCGGAAGATAATACCTCCGAAACCATTCGTGCTGCGGCGCTGTCAGCTGGCCACCAACTCTTTTCACATGTCCAGAACAGTTTGAGTTTGCAGCAATTACGAGAGATTCTCGGGTTGCAGCATTGCTCAACAGTTCCTGGCAAATACGGTTCCACTCCGAAGTAGTGGGCCATCTGGGCCAGGGTCTTGCCAGACGCATTTTCGTATCTCAAAGGCCCAGAGGCCATGCAAACTGAACCAGATTGTGAACTTCTCTATCCTACCACCAATCAGCCTGAGCCCGCAACAAGAATCAAAAATAGATGGCTCCTAGTGGCCAAAGATAAATCAACACAAGGAACCTCCACTGCCTGCAACGGCACTCAGCTCATCGTGCAAGAATGCCTTGGCCCTGTCTACTTGAGTAGAGCTCAACCCAAGCATCAACATTCCCGTGCTCACCGCTGATCGAACTTGCTTCATCAGTTTCTCATAGTCATAGAGGTCTGTGCACACACAGTCTCCACAGTTGGTGAAATTTGCTTCCATCTGGAGGCTCCGCAACTTAAAAGCCTGCCAAAAAGGCTTCCACCTGTTGAATAGGCCAAACATCTGCATGATGTGGAAATCGTGTAGGAACTTTCGAAGCGTCTGCCTTCTTAAGAAGATCCTTGCTTCCTCTTTACCCAACTTGCAAGAATGGACAGAGTGCCTTGGGAATGATGATTTTGATGGGTTGGACAGCTGGTAAACCGCTATGTGTGAATTCCTGGAGCCTATATTTAACATTTTGGACATCTTGAAAAAAAGAACATATTTGCATATATTTGCTAATTTGTCAATAAATGAATATCCATAACAAGCTTTCAAGTATCCCTTTCAAAACTGGCACCGCTGTATGGGTTCACCCCCTGATGACTAGCATGGTTTCCGGCCCATAACTGGGTCCATTTGAAGGGTTCAACGTTTTTTTAATTTTGAAGTGCAAGCCTATACACTATCTTTTGGCAAGCTCTCACACTTCCAACTGCTGAATTGCTGCCCCCAATAGGGATCACACGATCTCACAGGATCTCGCCCTTTCCACCTCTCCGGCGGACTCGACTCGGCTCCCCGAACGAAGGTGGCGGTGCAAAGGCGTTTCACCCCTTCCGGCACCTGGCGCTGCTCCGCGCGGTGCGACGGTCGTTGGGCCGGTGACCGCGCGGAGCGGTGGCCGGCCAAATGGGAAGGGTCTTTTTCTTGGGGCCTGGAGGGCCCAAGATGGCCCAAGGATTCTTATGGTGGGATTTGAGATGCAGAACCCCTCCAATTAGCAGTGAGGCAACTTATCAGTTGGCGAATTTTCACCTGGAGGGATGGAGAATAGCCCGGAATATTTCACGGAATCCCAGAACCTGCCAATTTATCAGCATGTTGAGAAACATGGAGAACACCTCCAAGTGCAAGGGATAATCAAAAGACCCGGTGTATTGCTTGATCCGTGGTCAAATCGCCATTGCAAAGATGTGGACAGAACATGGTGGCAATACAATTGATTCAACTATGTGTGTATATGTGTGTTGCATTTAAAGGTTCATTTGCTCATACGACTTGCGCATTTCATTCCTACTGAAACTTCAACTTTGTTCAACATCTTTAGCGCCAAGAGACAGCTCTGCCTCATCATATCTGGTCTCTGTTGACACCAGAACCCGCGGGTTCGACCTGGACTACGCTGCATGACCTTCATGTGCGTCTCGCGTAATTTTGAAGGCAACTTTGATCAATACTATTATGTCACACAAATTTCCATGATCCGCACTTGTCATGCACCCTGCTTGCCTTCTTGATCTGTCCGCCACGCGTCTTCGAACCGCCACATGGGGAACCGGTCGCCAATGACCCGACGACGCGAGCGCGGAGCGCGACGCGCGCCGCGACCTCGTCGCCAGGTAGCTGAAAGGCCCGGAGGATCTCCTGCGGCGGAGTGCGTGGCTTTTCGGGTCTGTAGCTGAGCCGGTGAGTGGGGTGAGTGGCGAACACGTAACATCTCACCACGAAGTCGGAACGGTAGCTTCGAACATGACAGACGCGGCCCTTGGTTCTTTTGCTATATCAAAATAGGTACTTGATGGTACTTCTATATCATGTTCGGAGGTACGAACCTGAGACTCCAGGTAGTGGCAAAGGTGCTGGTGGTGAATGGGTTTTAAGAGATTGTTCGAATGACCTCTTTTTAGGGACTTCCAGGACTGCAGTGTATTCAGGGTTGAATCAGGGTCCCCGGATAATTGGATGATTCATTGGAGATGGCAACATAGTTCGTCCAGGACTCTGCACAAAAACAAAACAAAGGACGTTGATTGAAGATATTTGAGATTCTCTTGGCTCAAGAGCAAAGTCACCGGAGTCTTCGTACCGCGAAAGCAACTTCTTGGACCTTACTGTCGGGGTGTGAAACATGGATATCCATAGGTATCCATCGGTAGTGTAGGGATGTGTAGGGTAGTCCATGGGAGACCTTGTAAGGCATGTGCTGGTACATACTCCTCAGTCTCTTTGATAGCCAAATAGAAACGAATTCAACCGGGTTCACCGGTTTCCCCCTGTTCCACTATGAGCTTAACCCGTTCCTCTTCCACCTCTCTGTGTTTTTCGGACACACTCCCGTCCGCTTCGCTACAAGGGACCGCACCTGCCCCGGTGAATCGACCGGTTCAACCGTTGAAATGGTCCCATTCGTCGACCGAAATGGCCTCCCCCTTTCCACCGGGGGTTTGGGAACAACCATTTGGGGAGAATTAGGTACTGTGCTACATCATCCATGCTTGTGTGGTGGAGTTAGTAGCTTCTTTGTGTGTAGCTCTTTGAGATCCACATCAAGAAAGACCCTCTTCACCTCACCTCACAGCATTCCCTCTTCGCCCGACAGCTCCCCCTGTTTGCTCCGACACCCAAGACGCGGACGACTGCAGTTGTCTATGCTGCAAGTTCACTGGCTACGGCTAGCTCGAGAACGGCTTAAAAACCACGAAAGTAAAGACCATTGATTGGTTTGATTCGTGTGGATACCAGTTTTTGCGGGGGAATGGTTCACAAAGAAACATGCAGTGGAAGTACCCGAAGTCAACTGTGCAAATCCACTGTGGGCCCATGTGTATTGCGAGATCTCCCTTCAGTGGAGTATCTCCCTTCACCTATAGCATCAACTTCAGCCTGAGTAGCAGTATTTAAAGATCAGACTAGGGCGCATTGAGCATCATATTCAGTGGCAGTGGTGCAATCAACTTGGCCAATGCGAATCTTTACCTGCAGCGCTGCAGGTAAACGCCAGTAGGTCCAAATGGTGCAGAGGTCAAAACCAAACAGTTTGCTTTCTACTGTTCATGAGAGAAATGTCTGAGCACAATTAACGCCATTAAGTATCTGTCTCAACGCAAATCCAACAGCACAAAAGGTAGAACGAGTTTGTATCCAAAAGACATGGGTTGCAGGAAGTTGTAAAGGAACTTTTCAACATGCATTGAAGCATATCTCGCGAAATCTCAATGAGCCGGCCCCACTGCAAATAAGGTATTGCACGATGTTGGACAATGACACATACTCGAGCCACTAGAGAAGCTACCCTCAGTGAAACAAACAAAGGAAACTGACAGGAAGACTCAGCAAAAAAGACGAACGGACTCCCCTGACGGCGGAGTGGAGTCCCTTCAAGCAAAGAGGTCTTCTTCCCCTCAATTCAAACACTTCTTGGCCTAAACTAACACTCGGCTGGTGGTACACAAGTTTGTTTGGCCAACTTGTCAGCTTCCATGTGTCTTGTGGGAGGGTAGGTAACTATGTTCCACTGATTCTTGGCGCATTCACCGCCAGGCATCGGAGAAAAACATAGAGGAGAACTGGCACGTTGCCGCCACGGACGAGTCATGTAACGCCGTGCTGTTGATGGATGGTTGCCAGCAATAGGGGCAGTGTCTCTGTTTGGCAAGGACTCTTGCCTTTTCAAAATATGTATATGATATATATATATATATATATGTCAGGACCCTCCAGCAAACTGTTTGGAGACCTTGACAGGTGGTTTCTGGGCACCTGTTGTCACCAGGAAGCACCTGTTGGAGGGTGCTGGTATAGACGATCATAGACGAAGAAGGTCGGATGTTGGACGAATGGTTTCCGATGGATCCACTGCCCTCCGAGAGGGGGTAGGACCTGAGACACTAGGACTGGAACGTAGGACTGGATCCTGGATGGAGTTGTTGAGAAATATGGCCCCCAGCTGTGAAACAGCTTGTTCTTTCTTTTCTTGGTGGACTTCACTTCATCTGGCCAAGTCAATGCTAGTAAGCTCAAGAAGCCGAAGCCTACGCAATGGCCAGGGGTTGCCCGTGCCTTAAATGAATTCATTGTCCCAATGAGGTTCGAATGGGTAGATTCAGCATTCCTATTGATAAAGCAACTTGGTGTGGGCAAGAAAAAACACAGCGGCTTCTACAAGTAGTTACTTTGATGCACTGCCAACATGAGTGCCAAGTTCTCCTCCAAGGCACATGAGTCACAGGTGCCAAACCCAGGACCCTCGGACCACCAATCGAGTCTCACTCTTGCATAAACCAGGGATGGATGGTTGTGCAATGTTGTCTGCCCTCCTCTCGTACCCAAAGACTGGAGCCGATTCTGGAGTGCCAAGGACTGGCACTTGAACCTTCCCTTAATGTCATCCTCAAAGCTCTCGACGCTGTCGTCTTCGGCACTCGCCCAGAAAAGCAAAAAGAACTACCATATGGGTGCATCGTGGGGCATACTAGGGTGGGATGGTACCATGTTTGGTCGACATCCCTTACAAAGGGTCATCCATTTGACCCTGCCATGCCACCAGAGTAGTCAGGTCCTGCCCTCTCTGATTCTCTGAATGTTCCAAGACCAGCTCCCAACTAGCCGTCTTCAATACCAAACTGCCTGGCATTTGTATTTTGGTGAAGATTGGATTAAGAATAAGGTAAGTCCTTCTACAAAGAGGCCCAAGGCAAATTGGAGTTGCTTTGCGTAAGTTAAGGAACTGGACAGACTGTTAAAACTCTCAAAGGATTAAACAAACCATAACAATACCAGGCTCGTTCCAACGCTCTGTTTCCTTTGAAAAACACCATGGAACTGAAACCCTAAAAGGTGGAGCCATCATTTCGCACCAGGTCCACGGCTTCGAAACACACTGGAGTCGCCGTTTCTGACCGTTTCACCCAAAGTTCTGCCTAGACCCTCCACCAGTTCGTACCCTAGAAAATGGAACATGACCATGACCCTATTAAAACAGGTACTGTGCTCGTATCAATTGTTAGAAATGCTTTGAAGGTTCATACCAAACATGTATTGGAGCTTTGACATGCACCTGGTTCATTGCAGCTGGATGTTCAAATCTCAACCCTCTTGTTGGTCCAACAACCGCCTCGGGAGGCGGTGCGTGGACGCCGATCCTCTGCGCGGCCGATCGGTCACCTGGCTGCGATCCGTGTCCGATCCAGGCAGCGATGCGTTGTTGGAGCACCCAAAACCCCAGCGACCCGATGGAGGATCAATGCTTGGAATCCGACAAATGGACCAACATGAGCTGACCCTTTCCTTGAAGAAAAAGAACTTCTGCAACCCTGTTCACCCAACTGAGAAATATACTCAGAAACTGAACAAATGGACCAACTTCCCAGGCCCAGGCCGACCACTCAGAAACTGCATGTCAACACCGTCCAGTTCACAGGGTCCAAACAAGTTTCCCCCCAGAAGTTGTGGATAATGTAGACTCTTGATTCATAAACCCACCCATTTGAATACACGGACTTGTGGACGGTCTGTCATGTCGCGCGCGCCCACGCCCCCCTTGCCCAGGTTGTCTAGGAGGTTGAACCCCGGAACTCCTCTTCATATGGTAGGCTTATTCATCCTAGAGTCTACATTATCCTTCCGAAAACCAACATGAACCCTGACGTCATGGCTCATGGCTCCCTGGAGGATTGCTTTTCCTCTACCAACCGACGTGCGCCCCTAACAGGATCATGGGACTCGTCTTCAGTGTCTGTCTTCATCCCCACCGTCATCGGGGCAGTACCATGGTCCTTGCGCCACTGGTCTTCCGCCCGAAGAAAAGAGGAAAAGCGCGTGAGCACCTCGTGAGCTCACCGAAAACGCGAACTAGTTCTCCTCCTCTTCCACCTCTCCCGCATCCAGAGACATCCGCAAGATCCTGAGAAAAGCCCCACCCGGGAGACCGACTGGGTACGACCGGGACCTAGACGACATGGTGGACCAGTCGTTGACATGGTGGACCAAACCTACCAGGTTGAACGACCCATTCCCATTACAAGTGCTTGTCACGGGTGAAATTGGCCCGGTTTCTGGGTGTGGTTTCTGGGTTTCAGGCACGCATGCTCATGTTCAACGCTACAAGCTGAGACTTCAGGCGCTTCAGGTGTATTTGAACGGCTTCCCGTGGAATGAATTAAGGCCAAGAGGTGGAGCAATATGGACAAAGCCATTGACAATAATAGCAATTGACATATAGACTCTAGACTGATGTAAATAGCAGTGTGTTGAGTTCTCTATATAGATACCTAGCATAGACACCTTAGATGTCTCTTCCCCTAGGTCACACAATAGCTTAGAATGTCAAACACACAAAATGGTAGATATTCTTCTCATAGTAAGAACCATCAGAATTCTCCAGTTCCCACTGTTCTGAGATCATCCTTTTAAAAGGCAGCTCCTTTGGCTTTGGAGAACAGCTTGGGGAACTGCTAGCAGCTTCGGATGACACGAGTCACGTGTTCTTCGTTCTCAAGCTGTTTCGCCTCAGCCTCAGTACAACGTTTAATCCTATCATATCATAACTGGATCTCTTTCCCCTACCATTCAGGAGTGTTTATGGTTTCTTACAGGTCACTCACAAATGTGGACAACACCAGAAACTTATCCGCGTTCATAAGAAACTATAAACTATTATAAACTGCTATTGAGTTCCTGAACGGCCACATGGACCAGTGCCTATGTTGGTCTTCGCATTTTGACTTGTTTGACTCAAGAAGTGGGTAGTGATGACTCCCTGGACTCGGACGTGAAAGCCCGCTGCTCAAGAGAGCGACTTGATGCAGCTTCATGTGGACGAAACATGATAAAACCACCCTCATATTGGAAGAGGTTGGAACCATCCATGTCTGGGCCTTTGATTCATCAAGAGTCTATATGACATCCAGCAGCAACGCCAACCACGCATCTTCGCCCAAGGCTCTTGAGGCAGCTGTAGAAGTTGTCGCGGACGTCCGAGTCCTGCGGGAACTTTGTCGTCACTCCGACCCCAAATAGAAGAGGGACATGTTGCGCCAGCTTTGCTCAGGTTGAGACATATATATCCGCCACCAAAACACCCATGTCTATCCATTTAACATCCATGTCTATCCAGCCACAGCCAGGCTGCGCTTCACTTCAGAAGCTCGTTTTCAGCCGCGCAGTCGCGCCCCAGAACGCGCAGAACACCGCCGAAGAAGCGCGCCGACCGAAAGCGCGCAGCGCTGCACCGCGCAGCGCTTGTGCGGCGCGCTTGCCGCGCGGCCGCACGGTTCTTCAGATGTCCGGGCTCTCCTGGAACTGAAAGCACAGCCGGAAGTCCCTCTCCGTGCAGAAATCCACCGCCAGGCAGCGGGGCGACAGATGTGCCAGGCTGGGGACCTGATCAGCGGCACCGGTGAGAGGGGGCGCACACCCGAAAGCAACCAACACCAAGTACTGGAGACATGGAGTGACTTCAAAAAGAAAACAGTGGCTTTGGACAGGATTGGTGTTGTTGATTTGTTTGATTTGCATGAATGTTCGTATACAAGCATGTTGGAGTCTCAGCCTGAACCAACGGAACCGACCGTGTTTTTCCGTCCGTGTTGCGTCGTTGCTTCGATCGATTGGAACCGTGGCGAAAACGTCGCAGGCCACAGGAAAGCGGTTTTTTTGTGGCCCAAAGCCTGCAAGTTAAGGGATCTCTCATAGACATCTCGTTCCTGGCAGGACCCTTCAGTTGCATTTAACTAAAAGGTATATCTTCACATGTCTTTCTAATTGATGAAAAGGCATACGCTTTTCACAGTTTGGAAGATCCAATGGGATGGACTCGTTCACCCCGACGAGTTTGTAAACTTGGAGCACTGCGACACCATGCGATTGGAGGCCTCACAATATGGACGTGATCCTCTCAAAAGGGCAGGTCCACGTGGGTTCTAGGAACATAGAAATGATTCATGACATTACAAACATATAGGAACTGGACATCTGTTTTCTTTTTGATGCCAGGCTCCACACTGCTCCCCAATGCTCCACAACCAAAAACAAACACAGCAAGAACTCCGAGTTTTCACTAGTGTCAAGTCTTGCTCCTCTATTAGTATTGGCTCACATTGGCTTTCCAAGTTCATTATGTTCACTCAGGATTTACACTAACCTCAGGTGACTATATAGGAGAAATGTGGTTTCTGAGATAGGTAGTAGTTACGTCTACAAGTCCTGACACATTGTGGCACCAGTCATTGTGTAAATCCCAAGCTTCTGGACGCCTATAGAAAAGAAAGCGTGTCACCAGACTATCTGAAAAAATACTTAACTGTGAACCAGTCGCCAGTAATTCCTATCCGTCAACAAATATCAGGCACCAGTTACTATCAATTAATTGGCTCACCTGAGTGGTCTGAACTCGGCATCCAGACCAAGTTGGTGAACTCTTTGTCACGAAAAATGGCGATCATGTCTTGCATCCGGTAGTACCGGTGCTCCTCCGGCAGCTTCAACGAGACGCGCTTCAGCGTCCTGCAATCACGTTGGAGGAAAATCCGCGGGTTTCTGCAGGTGTGCATTGCAATCTGCTCCTTTTGATTGGTTTCAAACGAAGAATACTAGTGACTTGGATTCATCACCTCAAATGAAGGTTTAACAAAAAAACAAACCTCTGTGTTCACCATCCTCAGCACAATGTCCCTCAAACGGTCTCTCTACTTCAACCCTTAAGTGGAACACTGCAAACAAAGAGTTATAGACTCCTAAACCCCACGCATCGTATACAGTAGGTGGACAAGTGCCATAATATACCACCGTGACATGCTTTTTGCTTCCCAACCACGTTTGCCATGCGTAGAAGCAACCCGTTGGACACCGACTCCGGTCGAACCCGTCGAACGGCTTCACCTTCGCACCCGAGCGATCGGACGTGCCTGTCCAAGTAGAAAGTGGCTATGACAACATGGCCCGAGTCCTCCAAGCTGTGAGGACACCAAATGTGTGGGGCGGTGTTCTGGGGACAGGCTGATCCAGCTGTTGATTTCATGAAACTGCAAAAGAAAACAGCTAGAATGTGTGTTGCAAATTGATCTATAGTATTATATATTATGTCCCAAGATTATGTTATTTCTTATATTTATAGTACTTATATACTAGTTTAAGTATTTGTATTGTATTATATTGTATCATATGATATGATATTGTACTGCGACGTTGCATTGTATAGGATCCCCATCCACTTGGTCCTCTTCGAGGAGCTCCACGGGCATTCCAGTCATAGCCTCCTGCGGGTCTCCGCACTTGGTCTGTCTTAGCACTGGGAAGGATGGGTTGTGGCAACCTCTTCCAAGCATCGCGCGATATACAATCCATGAAACACCTGCCTGAACCTTCAAAGCATTGCTCAATGGAGGCCCACAAGTAGTGTAGGGTAGTCCATTGGAGACCCCATAAGGATAGGTTCTTTCCTCATTAGGATTGTTTGTCTCTCGGGGTCAAAAAAACATCCCAACATATCTTCTGCAGCTTTAGCAAAATGATTTTAGGGGGTGAAGAAGCGTGGCGGTCGGGCAGTTCTGATTCGTATATGATTTATCATGATTTATACATGTGTCCGCCGATCTTGCTTCCTGGAATGATCTTCCCAAGGCCGTGAGAATCCTGTAGGACCGTCCCCAGTGACTCACCAATATTTACTCGTCACCCTAACCCTAAGCCTAGCTAGCTATACCTATATATAGAACATTGAGTGACCCTCAAAGACTGAGTGACCCCCTGAAAGACGGGAGCCCAAACATGGTCTTTGCCTATCAAAAACAACTGGTTCAACCTGGGTTCGGGGTCTCAGTTTGCACCTCGAACCACGGCGTTACCCATTCTGCGCCACGGGAACACACGTGGCCACGGAGACCATTTTGGTATTTGAAGTCTGGTCCGGATTTCACCTTCCCAAGGGATCCCGGATACCTTCTTAGAAGGTGTTTGGGGTCTGACACCTGCCTGAGCAGGTTTTGGCTCCGGACCCAACCTCAGCAAAAGTAGGAATTTAACGCGGACATGGTTTTCACAAAAAATCAATGGTAACCAAAATTGACTCATCTTCCGGACATGTTCCCTCACCAAGGGGTTTTAACCACAGTCTTCCCCCAAAATCATCTATGGTTGCCATCTCGAATGTGGTGTTCCCTCACCAAGGCATCTTGTGCCACCAATTCTTGTTCACCAATTCTTGTTCCTGCCACCCTCCAGCAGCCCGCCGTTTTCACATGCTCACCACGTGCTCACGCCAACGGCGAGCTCGCCACCAAGCGCGGCAGCTCAGTTGGCATGGGAGGTCTCATTGAAGGTCTGCAAGCTCCCAGCAGCACAGAACCTGAGATGTGTCAGCGCAGCTGACTACAAGTTGATGTTCATGGATGTTTAGTGTCGAGTCTGGGATGGGCTTAAAGGGTCTATAAGAGAAGGCACTTCAGCCGCCGAGGTGAGGAAAACGCTAGATCGATCCAGGGCTCCAAGTACAAAGGTGTAGCGTAGTAGTTCTAGGGCTCCATGTTATAAGGAGGTGTTTTGAGGTGGGTTTGACGTTTGGAGGGTCTTTTTATACGTGCTTGAAGCCCTAGCGAAGGTAGTGGTAGTAGTAGTCGTCGTCGTCGTAGTAGTAGTAGTCATAGTAGTAGTAGTAGTAGTAGTAGTAGTAGAAGAAGTACGTATCAGAAGCCAAGAAGCCCCATGAACCAGGCTTGTAGACTACCCTGTTCGACACCTTTAGATTTTGTAGTGCAACCAACCGGCCAACGAAGTCCTCCACGTGCCACCCAGCGGCGAACCGGTGGTTGATGACTCAGCTGATCAACAGTACTGGTCTGATGAACAGTTTGGTCCGAACTTTGTGGTCATGGTTGATCAACACAGTGCTACCACATTACATACCCACAAAACATTTCTAGACCATAGGGCTCCAAGTGCCCTATAGATCGATCAACATCCTTTTGGGGTGTTTGAAGGTTAAAAATATGCGCTAGCAAGTTGAGGAGGCACTTGGAGGCCTATAGGGCAACTGTTTGCACCAAAACACGGTCATCGATCTGAGCCTGACAGACCTCTTGCCAAGCCTGAGAAGTAGCTGTTTTGAGGAAAGAACAACCGGTTCATATCCACCTTCAGGGTATCCTATACCAGTACTGCCAATTGTGCTTGGGCTGGTTCTCCTCAAAGTGAAGAAGGTCTTGATGCCATTGTAGATTGCCAAGCCACAAGCCTAATAGTCGATCATTGTTCATCGATATCGTATCGATAACCTCCAATGTCTCCAATCAATGCAATGCATTGTGAACAAACATGAACAAACATAATTCACCCCGAGTAACGCTCAGTCGGAACTTGAGGGGACGATCCACAGCCATCCCACCATCGAGAGGGGTCGCGATCAACGCCACCGCGCTCGCACTCGCACGGGCGCCAGGAGTGAGCTCGTGAGCAAGTCGTGGCAGCTACGGGCGGACGACGACGTCAAAAGTCCAACCATCTCACCCCCTGAACCATCCATGTACATGTCTACAGATGCATCTATATCCATGATTTCAGAACTCCCATGAACGCTAGCGACACTCCAGGGCGCACCACGTAGTGCCGCATCCCTTCCAAGGCCATGGCTAATCGATTCGATGGTCTGGCGGATTAAAACATGTACGTTTGTAAGTCCATGTGGTCCACATGAGATGGTTGGCGTTTGGTGGCTAAGCTTATATAGTGTACCAGAAAACGTTCAGGCTCGTGAAAAAAGGGCATGTGAGCCAGAACTTGCTGAGCACGCGCCCAGGGTCCAGACCCAACCTCAGACAACCTGCAGTTCGCTCAGAAGATGAAATTCCGGATACCTTCTCAGAGATGCTCTGGAGGACAAGGGCTTTGTACAGTCCTCCACCATTGGAACCACACTCTTTGGACGCCCCTCCACCTCGAGCTTCGCCTCGCCTCGCCTCGTGCGCCGCGTCTCCGCCCACCCGGGGCCCGCGTCTCCGCGTCTCTTCCGTCCTTCACGAAGCTTCGGACGGCCATCTGCAGCCGAACCTGCGATCCCGGAGAGAAAGACCCCGTCGACCCGGTGAGACCGAGACAGGCCCGGCCCCCAGGTCAACGCTTGGTTTGACATTCGGCGTGGTTCGGAGCAAATCGACCCGGGGGAAGGTATCATGTTTGATCCCCTCCTGCGTACGTTCCGAGCTGCGCAGGCGGGACGGAGTTTGGACCGACCTCTCAAAGCGTCTTCAATAGCCAAAAGCCCAGAGTGTTCACTAGAAAACCCGTGTGTACATGGGGGGATACCTGGACCCACCAGTTGAGGTACATGGGACAAGAGCCCTAGATCAATGAAGACCAGGTCTGACTGCACATTCTCGAACCCAAGCACTCCATGATCATGATACTCCATGTATACTTCCATGTATATTTGCATACTTTGGGATTGTTTCAGGGGTCAATGTAGATTGTATTCCATACATGGAGTCTGGGCAAGGGACGGTGCAGGGAGCGTCCCACATTTTATCACTCGGTGGCTCAAGTGAGATCAGCCAGACAGGAAGACGCTCACAAACACAGAAAACTGTGTCTAGAGACGGCTAGAGTACACGGGCAAAACTTGTAAACGTCACGTCTCCGGAATTGTTACACAACAAATTCATGCTGATCATAACAAAACATACAAGATAATTCCTTGATTCTTGAAGGAAAGCGCTGCTTTCCAGCAAATTTTTGGTTGATATAGCCACTGGCGGATGCGCCAGGTGGACACCTGCACCTTCGAAACCAACTTCGGCGCCACTTCAGCGCCACTCTCTTCGCTTCGAAGAAGGGCCTTCTCCTGGTTCTCTGGAGTAAAGGTGGGCCCCATACACCTGGGCCATGGTGTTCGGCCGTTTCGGCCCCCCAAACCCGCCGACTCCGGACATGTCCTCCACCCCACCGGACGCTGCGCGCGCCACGGACCACAGGAAAACAGGCATACCTGGAGCCCAGAAACTCGGTGGTACCTTTAAACATGGGACATGACTATAGCAATAGGCCGGTACTTGTACTACAAGCAGCCATTTTCCGACATACTTTGAGACTCCAAGTATGAACAAGGGGTCCAGGTACAAAGGGTCGGGTTCCAAATGCAGGAGAACTCGGCGGATGTGGGGACCTCACGTTCCGAAGGAAGAGGAGGACGTTGCGTCATACGTAGGGTGTAGGGAGAAGTAGAGTCTTGCAAGAGGGAATTCGACACATCCATATATATATATATGTCTCCACTTGCTAACAGAATGAGATAGAATGAGACCTGTGGTCTCCCATGAAGACTGGCAGCGATTGGCGGTCCTTGCCACAAGATAACGCCATCCTAATAGAGCTTTCACACCTAGTCTTTTTGTCTGTAGATTGCCAGTGGCACACATTGTGACTTTCGTGTATCTTTCAGTCATCGCCACAAGCAACTCTTCGAGGGTCCTACCATGAACAAGTATCCCAAACCTCCCCATCACAGCCATCCCCCACTGACCCCCCCGGGTCAGTTGTTCTGCCAGCCGAGCCTGACGGGTTCCAACGTTCGGCTCGGAGCGGCCTGTCCACGGAACGGCCGCTCCGATTCCGCGGCAATTGGGAAGGGCCGTCCAGCTGCTTCATCTGACAAGCAACGTGGGTGCATCTGTTTCACTCAATATAGAATACTCCTTTTTGCTGCTACCAGTGCACGTATATGGTCTAAATGTTGCTATTCCTGAAACAACTTCAAAGACTTGCACACCGCAAATCCACGCCTGCTGCAGATCATCTGGCGGCTCATCCTGTGCGAAGTTGTACGCCTCCGAAGGGCTTTTCATCGGAGTGCATAGGAGGTCCAGCGATCTGAGTCCATCGGAGGAGCGCCAGTCCACTTGTCTCAGGTTACAGATGTTACAGGTTGCAAGATCACTGCAACAAACATCTCTAGAAGAAGCAGTATATGCATTAATTGTAATATACCCACTATATCCTATACTGTCCATCAACAAAAAAACACTATCCACCCACCGACCTGGCATGAGAGCACCGGTCCCAAGTCACGCCGACTTCGACGCCGCGAGACGGCGTCGCCCCGCGAGCGGCCTTGGGAAAGCTCGTGGAGCTCGAGCTGCTCAGGGGCAACGCTCGGACGTATCTGAGCGCCGCTGCGCAGCGCACCGCGGGGCAGGCGAACCGGAACCGAAGCGGTTGCGCCACCGGCGAGTTGCATGAGGAGAGGATGCGCAACGAATGCGAGTGGACATGGAAGAACAAAGGGCACTTAGCATGTGGCCGGTATGTTTGGATTCATTTCCTCTTCCAAGATGATACTTTAAGATGTTCTGAGACAACCGAGTGTCAACAGTTTAAGAAAGTCTTTTGCAAATGGTTCTCCTCCTTCAGTGTCCTCCTCAGTTCTGGTGATGCGATTGGGTTCAATTGTAGGTTTCTTCATGTTTCTTCCGAAATTGACTGCATGTGTTGATCCCTCTATGATCCGCTCCCCATTTGGAATCAAAATTAATAAACTTATATAAATTCACAAAATCAGAACTTCTGCGGGGGTGATTCTCAAGATGATGCTCTTCGGGACCGCTGAACAAAGGGTCCCATCCACCCGCGTCGTCGAACGTGGGATTGAAATGCACTCTGAGATTCACTGACATGGAAGTCAAAGGAAGACTACTTTCCTTTCCAACCAGGGGGTCTTTCCACTTCCATGTGAGTGAGTCAGAGGGTACCAGGTCGCTTCCCCCTGCCATGGTCAGGTCTTGAAGGACCTGAGCCTGGCAAAACTGATCATTGACAGTGCAAACAAGCAGCGCAACCAACAGGATTGGAACACAGTCGTTCCGACACCACAGCATCGAACACAATGTGCTGTTCAAGGTGAAATGCGGCTCAGAGAGCCCTAACGAAACAGCACTCGTTCTCCATCTCTCCAAAAAAACATATCAAGCAGGGAGTAAAGAGATTAACATGGCTTTCCTCTTAACCCATCTGTTCCTCATGATTTCCAAGTGGAAGTCGACTCGATAACCCAAGAAAGTCCAATGTTCATCGCCTACATCACCGAAATCCGACCGAAATTCCCTCTCCTTCCTCTTTTGGAGCGGCCACCGCCCTGGTACTTCCCCCCCCGCTCTTAGGCATCGGACTCGGTATTCTGATCCACATGGGCCTGCTGGTTTCAACTTGGAGTTCCCGGGTGAAGCCGGGAAAAAAGAACCGATTCCCGATTTGCAGGCGATTTTAGCCAGAAGAATAACAAATCACCTCAAGAAATAACAGGGAAGGATCAACGTTGTGGTTGCACCCTCATGAGCAAGCAACATCTTGAGCACACAGAGAAAACAATGGCGCGCAGACACAGACACACACACACACATCATACATGTCAACGGCAGCATGCTGTCTTTTTCTCCAAGGAAACTCGTAACTGGCAGATTGGTGACAATTTTTCTGCTAAGTGCCCATGTTCACCAACACATTTCTGCACTGTATGGTCCCAGTTCTTGTGTAAGTCTCGCGATCAAGCTTTACCCTCGCAAGCAGCAACCAA